TCTTTTTGGTATTTTTTTCCACTAAACATTTTAAGTTGTTTTTTACTATCACTTTTAAAATGGTTGCTTCGTGTGTAAAGGTTTTCTGTTAATTTTGTCTTTTTATATTTTATTTTTTTTTTTTTTTTCTATAATTCAATTACTTAAATTATATATATATATGAATAAATCTAAAAAATATATTTATATCATTTAAAAATATTTACACGCTAAGGTATTCCCTCTTTTACACTCGCACAGGCAAAAATACTCAACCTGGCTTTTTTTTTCTGTTGGCTTCTTCGAACACTTCTTTTTTTATTGAATATCATAGTAGAATATTTTTATTTATTTAAATAAAAAAGTTATAGCATCTAAATGTATATTCATTTGGAATCAAACAAATATATATATATATATATATATATATATATATATATATATATAAATAATTCATAAGTAATTTATTAACCAGAGACAATTTGATAAGTAGAAAAAGTTAACAAATCATGTTCAATATAAAAAAAAAAATAACAAATAGATATTATATGTATAACAAATACTACTTTAATTTAGTAAATAAATAAAACAAAATAAAAAATAAAGTATTAAATATACAAACTACAAATATGCGTAAAAAAAAAATTAAATTTTTTTCAGCATGTAATATATATAACACAAGTTTTCTTAAATTAATTTTTTAAATGAATTAACAATATTTCAAATGCAATAATTTATTCCTTAATTTATAAAAGTTTTAATTTTATTTAATAAACATATATATAACTTTTTTTTTTTTATTAATTCAAAGCTAGTTTAATTTTTAAAAAAAAAAAAAAAAAAAAAAAAAAAAAAAAATATACATGTACATATACATATATATATATATACAATTTATATATTATATATGTGCATAATATTAACATTACATAAAGCATACGTTAATATAGTGATAGAAATTCAAATTTTAAAAATAATATTTAATTTTTTTTTTTTTTTTCTTAAACATGTACGTTTTGTAGATTTTTTAATTTAAAGTACTTGTACTTTTGTAAAAAAAAATTTATTTCTATTATATTTAATATTACAAATAGTTTTTCTTTAAATTAATGATTTGATTAATTTTTACAATATTTGAATTAAGAATAATATAAAAAATTAAAAAAATTTATGATAATTGCATATGTTAAAAAGATATACATGTACTGCAAATACTAAAATATTAAAAGAAAAAAAAAAAAAAAAAAATACGAAGCTAGTGATTATATTTTTTGGTGAGAAAAAAAAAATTGTAAATTTTGTAATAATGTTAGAGCTTTTTGAAATTTTAATTCTATTATTAAAGAGAAATAATTATTTATTTTAATTTTTTAATATATAAAAAAATAATTGACATACTCAAGCATTTGCATTTTTATGCTCCACTTATTCACTTTCACAATTGTGATAAGAGTGAGGAGAGAATAATGCAAAAATAGTACGTTCTTAAGAGATTAGTAAACCGAAAAAACAAAAACTTTAAAAAATAATTTAATTTGATCAATACATGATTTATTTAATAATGGCTTTTTATTTATAAATTCTTTTCACAAAAAAAAAAAAAAAAAAAAAAATTATTTTCCATTTATTAATTATGCCTTATTTAAAATACACTTTTTTACGAACATAATGTAACTCGAAAACAAAAAAATGTTTAAAAATAAAATAAAAACAAAAAAAAATCTTTTACATTTTATATTAGGAAAGTTAATTAATAATTATATGTAAATTACTACACAAATAATTTTTTTAAATAGTTTCATACATTTTTTTAATATTAATTTCTTATCTAGTAAAAATTACTTTAAAAGAACGATTTAATTGTAAAATTATGTAATATGTAGTTATTGTAATTTAGAAGAAATTTATATAACTTGTTAATTATTAAATTTTATTATATCAAAAATATTATTTAAAAAAAAATTACTTTATATTCTTTTAAATTTTTTTCATTGATAGAGAAAAAGAAACATTTTAAGTTTTTAATTTTTTTTATAGAAAATGACACGTTTATCTTATTTTTAAATAATTAATATGGTTAATAAGTAATTTATAAAATTTTAGTTAATAAAAATTATGAAGTAAAATTTTTTTTGTTATCTTCATCAGTTTTTTGAAAAAAATATCCAATTAAGAAAAATATATATAATTTTTTATATTTCATTTAGTTTTATAAAAATATAAAGTTTTTATTGCATTACTTTATTTACAATTAATATATCTTAATATGCAAATGATTATTAAATATTTTTATTTTTCTTTAAATAATTTTAATTTATACTTTTTAATTTTATTTTCCTTAGCTAATACAAATTACTAAAAGAAAAACATTTGATTCACAATTTTGAAGTTTATATAATTAAATATATAACATACGTTATAGCAAGTAAAAAAACAAGGAACATTACGATTTTTAACTGAATACTCCTATATATATAATTGCTGATAAAAAAAAGGAATTAAAATGTTTTTTGTTAAAATTTTGTCTTTATCCATTTAACATAAGAAATAAAGTATGTAAAATTTTCAGTCTATTCTTTGTGAAACCTATGATAATAGTTATAAAATAAATACTTATAATAATGAATAGAAATAACTATTAAGAGGAATAAATGTTATTTCTCTAATATTAACAAAAATATACAGATAAAAAATAGAAATAGCATATATGTAACACAAATTAATACAAAATAATGAATAATTATATATCAATTTTATTAATAAGAACAAATTTTTTACTCTAAGATTCAAAAATAAGCACTTGATGTAATAATACATTTATTGCTAAATTCTTTTATAAATTTATAAAAAATAATGAATTAATAACATGGAAAGTTAAATTATTCATATACATTTTTATTAAAAAAAGAGAAATTATCTTTAATTGTTTTATATAAATATTAACTTTTAAATAAGAAAGAAAAGAATTTATTACTATATATATATATATATATATATTAGTTTTTTCTATTAAAATAAAAATTAAATATTCTATTTCTTTTTATTGGTAACATATTATTACCAAGATTATCTTAATTTTTATCCTAAAATACCCATAAAGGTATAAAAAAAAATTAACCATATAAAAAAAAACTAATTTTTATTATATGTGTAATTTTATGTTTAAACGTAACTTTATTTTCTAAACTTGGAACATTAAATTAAACTTATTATTGAAGAAAAAAAAAAAAATTATAATAAAATAATAAATAGGAAAAAATATTTAAATACTGAAGATAATTTATTATTTCCCAATTTTAAAATAAATATGCCAATTATGATACGATAGAAATCTGAGAATGAGATAATATTTATAGGTAATATAAAATAAGAAAAGTGATAAAATTTTTATATTCAAAAAAATTGAATGAATTAATATAACATCTCTTAATTATTATCACCTACAAATATGTAAAAATTTTTGAATTGGCAATTTATTTATACCAACATGATACAATTTCATTCTTATAAATTAAAAAAATATAAACATTATTAACTAAAAAACATTACAAAAACATTCATATATTCCTTAAAATAACAATGTAACATTTAATGTATTAAAACAAAACTATAAATATGTTAACATGAAAAATGATGTTATCATTACTTCAGAATAATATCATTAAATTATATAGTATATTATTAGGGAATAAATGAATTTATTCAGCTTTTATAAAAATTAAAAGTTTCTTTTATATCTTTTAAACAAAAGAACAATTTTTTTTTTTTAAGTGAATCATATAACTTATTCTACGAATAAATTATGTCAATAATTTTAATTGTTACTCAATTTAGTGTCAACAATTACCAAAAAAAAAAAAAAAAAAAAATACATATTCTTAATTTAAAATATATATTCTTTATATTTTTTATTAGTTATATATAGTAAATGTTGTATATATCACTTGATATTCCCCAATAAACCTTTTACACATTCGAATTATATCAATTTAATATATATATATATATATATATATAGATATATATATATATATAGATATATAAAGCAAACAAAAAAACACAAATAAAACTTTTTTTTTAATTTTTCTCTTTATATGTGTTAAATATTTATTTTTCAAGCAAAATTATAAAATGTTTTATATGAAAACATTTTCTAATGTTTTTTCTATTTTTCTCAAAAAATTTAAGCTTTTAATTTTCAATGTTCCTTTTTTTTCATATATTTTTGTAATTTAAATCATCTTATAATTAGTCTACTTTAACTTTAAATATTTAAATGCAATTAAAGAAAAAAAGATAACATTTCATTTTTTAACAAGAAAAAAAATAAAAATCTAAAACTAATAAAGTTCATATAAAACATTTTTAAAATTATTATAGCTTCAGTTGAAAAATCCTTTTTTTTTTTACTTTATAAAAATTTTAATGTTAAAATTAAAAAAAAAGGATTTTGTAATACAATGAAAAACATTTTATATATTAACTATTCTTGTATGAAAATTAAAAGTAAATTGCTATTAACTAATCACAAAATCCAAATAAAAACTAATAGACATAAGTGTTATCAAAATAGAAAATCAGTACATGTTCGATATCTCTAAAAAGATACGGTAATAAAATAAATTTAAATATAATTTATACAAATTTATATATACTATATTAAAATTAATTTGATATTTTAATATATATGAAAAAAGATTCTTTGATTTTTTTTTTTAATTTATCCACAATCATCTTGCAAAAAATGCTTAATTTTTTTTATTTTCTGTAAGTATTATAAAGAAAGAATCTATAGAACGTATTTCTTTAATTTGCATGCAAAAAAAAAAATAGTAAGAAAAATAAAAAGAATCATCCAATAAAGGGAAAAAATGTAATTTTTAATAATATTAATAATTTAAATAATACTTTTGTTAATATAATAAAAAGTTCTCATTATTATATTTTATACTCCCATTAATTAATAATATATCTTTTCTTATATACAAAATTAATAATCCATATTAATTTTCTAAGTTGAAATGAGAATTTCAAAGGTGTTTTATTTTTTTAATTTTCTTTTAGTTACCCATTTATTAATACCATATTTATCAAAAAAAAATGAGAATCTTAAAGGTTTAAATTCATTAAAGGATGTTGAAGAAGAATTAGAAAGAAGGGAGAAAAAAAAAAAAAAAATAATTTTATATTCTACTTTAGCATCAGCATTAGCATTAGCTACAGTTGTAGCTATAGGATTAGGAATTTATTCTCACGAGAGAAAGAAAGGGAGAGATCTTAAACCTCTAGATAAAGAATTTTTCGAAAAAGAGGGAGATGATGAAAAACCTAAGAAACCTTATTTTCCTAGATGGGTATCAAAAGAATCAAAATCTGTTAAACTGGAAGGAGATACATCACCAAAAAGTTATAAAAAAAAATATAAGCATCCACCTAAAGAAAAACCAAGAACTTCCAAAACTGTCACAGAACCAAAATCAAGGAAATACATAAAGTTAGCACCAACTTTTACAATACCCGAATCTATAATATTACCAGAACCCATAACATCTCCAGAACCTACTAAATTTCCAGAACCTCCTGAACTACCCGAATCTTTAATATTACCAGAACCTCCTAAAATACCCGAATCTTTAATATTACCAGAACCTCCTAAAATACCTGAGTCTCTTAAATTACCAGAACCTCCTAAAATACCCGAATCTTTAATATTACCAGAACCTCCTAAAATACCCAAATCTTTAATATTACCAGAACCTCCTAAAATACCCAAATCTTTAATATTACCAGAACCTCCTAAAATACCCAAATCTTTAATATTACCAGAACCTCCTAAAATACCCAAATCTTTAATATTACCAGAACCTCCTAAAATACCCAAATCTTTAATATTACCAGAACCTCCTAAAATACCCAAATCTTTAATATTACCAGAACCTCCTAAAATACCCAAATCTTTAATATTACCAGAACCTCCTAAAATACCCAAATCTTTAATATTACCAGAACCTCCTAAAATACCCAAATCTTTAATATTACCAGAACCTCCTAAAATACCCAAATCTTTAATATTACCAGAACCTCCTAAAATACCCAAATCTTTAATATTACCAGAACCTCCTAAAATACCCGAATCTATAATATTACCAGAACCTCCTAAAATACCCAAATCTTTTTTTTTTTTTTTTTTTTTGCATTTCAATTTTTTTTTTTTTTTTTTTTAATATTGCCATTAAATAATTTTTATAAAAACAAAATTTAAGCAAATATATTTTAATAGTTATTAATAAAAGTATATATATACATAAAGAAAAAAATTTTTATACAAACAATTATATACAATTTTTGCACTTTAAAAAATTTTAAAGAAAATATATGTACATGTATATACATAAAAATTTTTAAGTGCGGAAAATTTAATTACAAAATTGAAAAAAAAAATAATTTAATTAATATAAAATAAAAAAAACAAAAAAAAAAAAAAAAAAAAAGAACATCCTCATCTAAATTTTCTTGTATTCTCAATTCTTCCACCATTTTTTTAAAAAAATATTCCTTTTCTATTTGCAATTCTTCTTTCATACATTCTTCTAATAGCGTCATATGTATTTCTATCAAAACGTTTTGTATCAATTTCTCCCTTTTTTTTCTATTTTTCTCTATTTCGTTATCTCCTTCTTGTTTCAATTCCTCTATATTTTCATGAATT